AAGTTCGTAGGTAGAACTCTACGGGAAAACCATCGATCCCTGGTGATTTAGGGGAGGAGGGGGTAAAATGACCACCTTAAGAAGGAGCTCTTATTCCTTGTAAATAGAAAATTTGTGTCAAGAATCGACACGTGTGTCTGAAAGGTAAGACAATTTTAAGTTTTATATACTGCTGCTGAGGTAAGAAAGTTCAATTTAATTGGTTGAAATCATAAAATTTCAAAAAGACTTCGAAATTTCGTTTTAAGATACTTTAGGGGTAAAAGGCGCATATGTGTGTACAAAACGAACCACAATAAAGGGGCAAAATGCACAGCATGTAATTTCTTGGTGAGGTACAAACATCTGCGGGCAGTTTGATGTAATTATATGGAAAGGACATGGAAATTGTGACAAATACATTAAAATAAGACAATTTCAGCTGAAATTCATATTTAGTTGGGGTTTGAAATTAATTAAGTATAGGTGCTTTAAAAGTTCAGAATATTAAATTCCTACAAAAAAAAACAAGTTCGAAAACCGGCCTCTGCTTCAAACGCACATGTCACATGTTATTGAATCAGGGTTAGTTGCATACTCAGTGTGAAACCATGTTTTCCATTGAATGCACATCATCCAACCCTCCCCATCTTCGGACGAGCTGAAAACATTTCCACAGAAAGAGCACAACATATCATCCATCGTATTACATGCTACAGATTTGCGTTGCCGGCCTTTTCTTTTCACATCCTTCTTTTTAATGATCTTGATTTCCTTGGATGCGTTATCTTTCAACAGTTTCTTGCGGTACGGAGATGATGTCAATTCTTCACTCTGTTGCTTTCTAGGTTTTCTGCCTCGTTTAACGCTATGAGCTGTCGTTACTGGTGCAGTTGCGATGGGTGGCACATCAAACCTCTTCAACTCTCCTTTTGTTGGCACTCTATTGTAATCCCAACGCCGTTGCTTAGTATCAGCAGTAAATTCCTTCTCTTCTTCCGAAACAGCTGTGCGATTGATCGCTTCCAATCCACATGGGCTGTTTTCAACAATGTGATCATCAGTAACTATGGAATGGACAACGATGTTTCCGTTTTCTTCTACACTGTAGTACACATTTGGATCCAAAACAAGCATATCAGACACATCATATTGAAGATCATTGTCTCCGCTGGTATAAACTATGTTTTGCTCAATCGATTTGATGAAATCTACGGAATACGCAGAATCAACAATGCCTTGAGCCTCAGGACAAGCCTCGCTATTTCCAACAGCAAGTTCAACGATGACGGTTGATTGGAAGAATTCCAGTCGCTCGAAAACCGTTTTGAGCGGTCGCGACAGACGAATCAAGGCAGAGGTTGTAGATGGTAACAGCTTTTCCGGGATATTGCTTTTGAAGCTTGTTGATGGCCTTGATATAATTAGTCTTAAGCGGCCCCATGAAGGCCACGTCTAAAGGCTGCAGCTTATACGAGGTATGAGGTGATATGGCTAGAAGCCGAACATGGTTTTTCTTTGCTTTTTCAAACATTTCCAGATTCCTTGTGTGGCTTGAATGTCCAGGAGCACTGGAGCATCTGCCGTTGGTCGTGTGTATGCTAAAAAATGGTCAAACCACATTGAACATGTTTTTGTTGTACTCCAACCACTCGTGTTGCACGCAAAAATAGTCTCATGAGGTGCTCCAACCTTCAAAGCCTCGTTCATACGTATTCACGGAAAAATCAACAGGGGAGGAAGGAACTGTCCAGGTGCTGACATGGCCATTATGGCTGTTGTGTTTACACTTCGCTCACCGGAGACCGCTCCCGCTACTTGACGCACCCCCTTCTCTGCTACAACTTTAAGAGTCCTTGTAGGAACCTGAAAACAAAGGTATATGTAAATAATTGTAATAATCGTCAGTTTTATCAATCAATTACTTACTTACTATAACCTGTCTTATCTGCGTTCCAAATACGGCTAGGTGGAAAATGTCATATATATCTTTAAGAAGCTTATAAAACCGATCAACACTGACCCGGTTGAATCCCTTCAATCGAGTAAGAGACGTCGGCTCTGGATACCTCAGTGAAAACTCCGGATGTCGCTTCAGGAATCCCTTCAACCAATCACGTCCTGCAAAGCTCCGTTTCACGACAGAAGGGATGGTTCACTAGATTTTTTTTCCGCTAATTGACAAGCGACGCTCCTCAATTCTTGTTTTGTAACACCAAGGCCATACTGGTTCATTTCAATGATGAACTGCACCAGCTCCTGTTCCTGGACCGTATTGAAGACAGGAGAAAAGCTCCCCAGCGGCAAAAACTTCAGTCCGTGTTCGTTGCGGGAGTCGATACTTAGGTACCGTGAAAGTGTTTTCCTCGGAATCTTATAGATGATTGCGGCCTGCGACAGACCCATCCTGACTCCGTCCAAAGCCGCCGGTCCGTTTTTCATAAGTACACAGCAAAAAAAAAATGTTATATCGATCAATGTAATTCAAGCTGATGTATGAAATAATGATGTAATAGCAAAAAGCAGATACAATATTACATCAATGGATGTAATTTTGTTCGCAAAACCGATGTACATCGTACAACGTTATATTACACAACCGATGGATTGACCTGGTTGCAGCAGTTTGGATGTAATATTTACAATTTGACGTTTGCCTTGAGTTGCATTGCTACGCGCAGTGCTGCTAGAATGATGATTTATGAAGAATGTTTTCTATCGGATGCAATCTAAATCCAGATTAAAGTGGCATCTTGGAAAACTTTTTACTTTTAAAACAAATTCTGTTAAATTTGTGGAATATTTTAAACGTATTGATATAATTCTAACATCATCTGCTATGTAAAGCCTTAAAGATATTGAACAATGTAATGGCGTAAAACCTTACGCAAGGCATCGTGAAAATTGTATGAAGAAGGCCGAAAAAAATGTTTTTCATTTTTGCAAGGATTCATCTTATATAAAGTGTTTATGTTATCAAAACCGTCTTTTTATTGTTAAAAAGAAGAGATTGGCACATCAAACGCCTTTTGAAAATGTTTCTTTCGTCAGACATAGCAATGGAGCGTTTTGCCCCGACTGGGCATTTTACCCACATTTCCCCTACGTTTTTGCCACGTTCGGATGGAGTTTTTTAACTCGTCAATGCTGATCTCTGCCATTAGAGCTGCGTTGGCTTCGTCGTTCTTGGGTACGGCTCTCTCAGTTTCGAACATTTCTTCCACCACCCTCCTCGTCTCTTCCGCCGCATACAGGTCCCTGAAGTATCGAAGCATGGGTTGCTCGATCTCCAGAGAGTCTTGTATTTGCTCTCCTCGTTCGTTCTGCAGTCCTGTTATAGGATAGAGCTCTACTTCGTCGTAATCGCCCATTTCCGTTCATTGATCGAAAAAGATCAATAATATCAATGATTTTACCGTGCACAAATCAATAATAGGTTTGTTCCGATGCGTTAGTTAGCTACAACATAAATCCTATTAGAGCACATTGTATGAATATTTACGTTCATGTTCTCAAAACAAAAAAAGCACTCCTATCGAATCCCTTTTTTCTACGTTTATCCGTAGGACGAAGAAAATCTAATGGCGTTTCAATGCGGATTGGAATTGAAACTCGTTAGACGAATTTATCAAATCCAACGGTACGTATGGAAAGGTGAATAAATTTAGGAGTCATCTTTAACAGAAATATTCTATATTTTGTTCAAACTCATTCAAAAATGAGAGGTAAAGCGCGGGTTGTGCTTAGTAGGACGGGAATTATATCAAAAACCTAGTTGTTTTTTTTACGCTGTCTATCACCCAACTGGAAATTGGATATACTCTCGCCGGCTATAAACGTCTCGTTAATGCGGATGAAGTTTTGCGCAAACTGCCGCTGCAAAGTGAGAATTTGTGCTTTTACGCAGTTGATGGCCACCAGCATGGTGGGATTCTGGTAAAAACCATCATATGCGAGTCGTAATTGCTCGTAGAGACGTTGTTGTTCAGCGTTGAAAGTCCTGAAAACTTCACTTGACTTCCAGCGGAAGAAAGATTTTATTTGTGGCTTCGCGCATGAGAGCCACCATGTCATCCAGCTGGGGAAATTTCTCCGTTGGCGGGTCCAAAACTGCCATCGCACTTGGAATTCCTCTAAGTTGTCGGCGGTTAAGAGGTGAGGGCGGAGGGACCAGAAACCGCGTTCTTGTTTGCAGCCTAGGTGGGGAAGGCAAATACACGCTGTTAGAGCTTTGTGATCCGTGAGTAAGCATACGTGCGTGGCAGCACTCCGCAGATGCTCGCAAAGCCCAGCGCTGACATACATGCGGTCGAGCCTGGATGCCGCATTTTGTGTGATGTACGTAGGTGCGGGGGTTGTGGGTATAATTTCAGCCACAGATCGTGAAGCTGTAGCTGCCGTACGGTCGCTTGGAAAGCCGGACTTGTGTTGGAACTCGTTGAGTCACTCGGACGTAGCACGCAGTTAAAATCTCCAGCGATGATGACGTTTTGAGTGTTGAACCGAAGGTCCACTATCCCCGATGGTGCATATACGTTGCAGGGTGTCGTGTTTTACACCCTCAAAACGATGAGACGACCATCCAGGCTCTTCTCCACATGCGAGAATTGTATGTGGTCTTTCAGCGCGATTGCCGTTCCCCGCATTGCTTGGTCCACATTGCAGATAACGTTGAAGCCAGGGATAGAGAGTTGCTCATTCTTCACCTCCTGGAGGAAAACGATATCCAGCTCCAGCGTTCGTACAAAGGTTCGAAGAGCGTCAATCTTTGTGTTCGTAATATTGTTGATGTTGATGGTGGCGAGGTTGTAGCTGAAGAACTCAGCCATTAGCATGGCTGAATCTTGCAGTTTAGATCAGTGGTGTCTTCGGGAAAGTTTTTGGATATGAAAACATCTCCTTTAGACTTTTACAGATCATTGATTAATCCCGCTAGAAGTGATATCCAAAATTATGTTTATTAATTTCCCCACTAAATGTCCATAACCTTTATTTATTTTACCTTTATTTTACATTTGCAGGAACCACAACTTCACGATGCACCAATCGAGACCCTCCCCGGTGCCAGACCATTCCCGGAAACGAACCTTCCACTGCGAGAAGCCCCAATACCGGAACTCATTCCTGAACCAAACAACAGCATCGCACCCAAAGCTCCCGAAGGTCTTCGACCAAACTACGAAGCTCGTCCAGCTGATCAAAAGACCCCTCTGCAGCTGAACGAATTCGGTCTCCCTCCTAGTTTGATTCCGCTGTCCTCCTACAATGGAAACATTCAAAGTCCCCAGCCTTATAGCCTACCTGGCTACCCTTATAATTTCCCTGTTTTGTACGATTCCTTCGGCAATTACAACCCCACTCAATACCAGTCCGTCCTTCCTCCATTCGGATACTTCCCTCAGCTAGCCCAGCCTAATCCCTACTTCGCTCAAAATGCTCCACCAAACGGTCCACTGAATAACGCCGTCGATCCTCAGCAAGTCAATCGCAGCGGACGTGAACAAGATCTTCCCGAACCTACCAAAGAAGATCTGCAGAGCGCAACCGACAGCAAAGAAGCGACGCCTGAAACCGAACCCGAAGCGGATGCGGAAGCTACCGAAGCCACGAAAACCGAAGATAGCACCACTGTGCAAAATATTCCCAACAGCATCAAGAACAATGCCAACAAAAATAAGGATATCCCAGATGTCCCACCGCCACCAATTCCATCCGGTGCGAAGGATGCCGATCAGTGAATGATCAGATATTATTAGGTTTAATTACGCGAACACGTGGGCTCGTACACGCGTTTTACATTTGTAGGATACTCATTGTTCATCAATCGTTTTGATAATAAAATTTGTTGTATAAGTAGGATAGTTCAAATGGAAAATCGATATCACAATCACATTTCGCTTTGAACTTTCAATCTATTTACTATTTATTCACACAACTGACACGGCTAGACTATCTACAAAAACATGAGTCAACTTGATAACAGTCTACTACAGCAGATTTGACTGACTGTCCTTACGTTCTTTCTCTTTCTCCGAGTTACCCTTCTTTTGTCGAGTTCCGTAGACGTAGATGTGAAAATGGAAACCCTTTCCATACTGACCGGCCACATCTATTTTGGCCCAATTAGAACCCATCGAATTAAACGTGGGAAGTGCTCCAAAGCCGTCCTTTATTTGATCGATCGCTCTCACGCAAGTTATGTTGACCGGTGCATCGATGTAAATCTACAAAAGAAAATTCCAGATCAGACACATTTAATCAGCATCCGTGGGTTAACCTCACCTCAAGCGTTCCATTCAGTGTGCTTGGCCCGGAATTTTCAATGATCGTGTTATCAAAATAGATCAGCTCATTGGGCTCGGAACAGTCCCCAAACTCTAGATCATTGCCAGGAACTGGAACGAATTTCTTCGTTGTTACATCCACCCACACGTAATCGTTGGTCATCCGTCCGCTTTCGATGAATTCTGCCACTTCGTTCTTGATCTTGGGGCGAACTCCGGCACCCGTCACCTGTCGTTTGGACACATGCTTGATCGGTGACTCTTGTGGGACAGGCGTCGCTAAACCACACTGGATAAAGCAAATTATGACGCACAAATTCAAGCACAATCCTCCCAGAGACGTCATCATTAATGGATCAAAACCGCGGTGCCTCGACGATCGCAAACAATTCGTGCAAGTTCATCCGCTCAACTAAACGTTCCTCCAAGGGGAAAAGCATAAACAACCGCCTTGATTCGAGAGAAAATTTCTATCATCATCGTCGTCCGGAGAGAGAATGTCCACTCTGCAATGATATGACTTTTAATCAAATTTATTTCACATTGTCCGTATACGGTCGGTGTCTCGTAATAATACATATGTCGTTATGTTTTACTCGCATGATGACAGACTTAGGAGGAAAGATAGGCCACGGTCACGACAAGCGTGAAAGAGAGGGCCATACATTGACAAGAAGTGATGCGAAAGAAATGAAAAATCGCAGAATATCGCAGAATGTATAGAATGTGGACCTCTGCCAGACGACACAATCAACAACACCAGCCGAGTGAACTACCTACATATGGAATGCTCATTTGAATATTACTTGAACGGTTGGAAGTATTTGAACAACCATCAGTTATTGTAAGATTTCTATGTCTGGCATGTAAAAATATGGGAAAGCAATTACAGTCATCTCTCTCTCTCCCCTTAATGACTATTAGGTGTAGTCCACTGGCTTCGGCGTCTTAGATGAAACTCAAGCGCCTTCCGTAAACTTCAGGAACCTGGGAATCATTTCCAATATGCCCGCAGACCATTACTTCATCTTCTCGGATAATCTCAGTTCGATTGAGGCAATTCGGTCGATAAAACCTAAGAGGAAGAGGAGACAATAGGGGGACTTTTATGAATCAATTTTCTTTCAAACGCGAACCAGTGCCTGATTGGTCGGGCGAACATATAGAAACGCGAGATTTTTTACAACAGGGAACCTACCCAAGCAACCAAAAGTTCGGATAATAGCCCTTTTTTGGCTTAATCAGCTAATCGAAAGATTATGAAGAGAATTCCATTCAGCTTACTTTTTAAGTAATTAACCGAACTTCCAAGTTCACATTCGATGTTTAAGCTTCTAACAGAATGCTGTTTCACTTTTAAAAAGAACTTGAAAGTTCACAAAAGGTTCGTTTAACCGTTGGAGGGAATGCTATTCAGCCCAAAAAGAAAACTTGAATGAAATCAACAAACCAAAATAGAAAACAAATATATCTATTATTTTGCTGCTTACCACGTTCTCTTCTTATTTATTATGCCCTGCTGCGTCGTCGGAAGATAAATGTTTGAAATATGGTCAAATATTTAATTTAAATTACATGTTTTTAAATTACTCACCGCAAGTCTCAAACTCGCGTCTTCCTCATTGAAACCGAGATACATACCACTGCTCCATGTGAACGAAGTAGAATATCATATGATTTTACTCGATGTGTTGATTTCATTCATAAATATGGTTTTCAGAGTAGCCAAATCTACTTTCATGTTCCGTAAGAACTATTTTTGAACTTCAAAGTCTCTGATTAGTTCATGTAGAACCTTATCTGAACTTGAAAGTTGCTAGAAAGTTCATACGGAACTTATTGTGAACTTGCACCGTTTGACATTTGACAGCTTGTTTTGTTTTCCACAAAAGTTTTCAGTAACATCGAAAAATATTTGACTTAATTGTAGTAAATTTAACTGTGTTGAGACTTGTTTTATTCAGAAAACCATCAAGGTATGGTAGTGGAACGCAAACCTCAATAAAATTTATTAAAATACAATATATTTTTTACAGAAATGCCATTCGCCGTAGTAGAAACATTGAACGCTCGAGGTTGTAAGGAGCTTTCGGTCGTCCCAGATCAATGGATGTGGAAATCAAAAAGTGGACACATTTTGTTCTGACCAAACGCAAACAGTTTCGCAGAACAAGATAAATTGATCCGTGACGAAGAAAGCTGCCAGAAATTGACATTTCTAAAGTTGCTTACAAGTTCAAGTCAAGGTTCAAGTCGAACTTCCTTGGTACTTATCTAGAACTTTACGTGTACTTTAAAGTCTGAAACAAGTTCAACATAGATTAATCGTGAACTTTCGCGCTGCTTAAAAGTACGGTTAGTACTAAGATTGAACTTTGTGTTAGAGGTTCGAAACAAGTTCTTTATCCACTTTTTGTGAACTTCACAGTTCAAATGAATTGGATCAAGAAACTTCTGTTGAACTTTCAAGGTTATTTACTTTAAAGAGCATTAAGTTCTGCTTGTACGTGTAGTGCCTTGTTAATCAGCAAGAAAGTTCCACGAAACTAAATTTGAACTTTTGAGTTCGTTTCTCAAGTAAAATCTGAACTTTAGGTTGCTTGGGTATTTTCTTATATTTTGACAGTCAACTGCGTCATCCATAATGAAATAGTTTTAGCACGGTCGTTTCCGCGAGAGAAGAATAACACGTCATAGACTAAAAGAAGCCAGTTGTCTCCTCTTCCTGTTAGGATAAAACCAAGGTGACTACATATAGGCGTTCTAATGTGTCAAATTCATGATTCAGTCATGTTTTGTTTTTGTATGGGACAGCGACCGAAGTATGATTACAACCGCACTTTAGCTCCCGCGATCTCCTCGCCCATATAGTGATAAAGTGGTATCACCATGTAACCCACCATGGATAAAATCAGGTAGGAACTCATTTTATTTCCTTTCAAAGGTAAGCGAGCAGATAAGTGCGCTGATCGAAAGACCTTTATACATTGCTCAATTGTATGGCAATATACGAGTGCACGGATGGATTTGAGTGCCAACTTTGATTTGCCAATTTAGGGCAAGTAGTTTTACCAGGTTGAACTCGGTTGAGATTTTAGATAAGAACAAGAAGAAACTAATCTACATCTCATTGGTATTTTGTAAAGTAATTTCACCTCAAAAATAAGGAAAATTAAAAATCAGGTCATTGAGACAAGTAAGTCGAACAAGGTCGTATCCGGTATAGTCGCTATATTTATAGTCTGGCGTATAGAATTGCGATCCATCAAAAAGCGGAGCCAATTCAATGTATTGTACACCAACAATTGAAAAGGTACTATCAATTTTTATAAACACAACGTTTATTATTCTTTCCTCGCCTATCGAACGCAAATTACCAGCATCATTGGATTTTCCCTAACCCAAAGATGGTGTTAGGGTTGATGCATATATTATGTTACGCTCTAAGGAGGATGGAGGTTCTAAGATTTTGTGACAAGCAATGCATTAGGAATAGGAAAAACGTCACGATTGGTGGCGAGGGGGTAATTTTTTGCTCGATTTATCGTAACATAATTAATGCATGGGCCCTTAATTTGCATAGACCAGCCTTGAGTCACGAGAAAAGGATTTTATTCGCAATAGCTGATGTGCTATTTCTGTTGTTGGTCGTGATTTGCTCGATTGGTTCTGCTCAATCGGTTCCCGAGAGAGATTCTATCCGCCAGACTATGAATATAGCGAGTATAGTATTCGGTGCTGGCAGCTATTTTTGACAGAAAAACCCGAGGAAGAACGGGCAAGTTCGAGTTAGTTCGAGCTGTGTCATTATACAGCTCGTTATACAGACTTATTGCCTCCCGTCCTGTCTTAAGCAAAGTTGTTCAGCTGGACAATACTCGTATGGTAGTGGATGGTTTAGTTCAGAATTGATTCGCTTGGTGGTGCCATAGTATAAATGAAGTTATTCCATTGGTAAACCAGGATCGAGACCAGATAGAAGTTTCCTTTCCTTTTTTTTAAAAAAGACCGCGCATTTTGTAGTTGCTCCTCTGTGATTGATAAGAGCTAATGCACTTGCACAAAGAACCACGTAGATGGTGCATGGGATTGGCTTTCCATCTTCAATGTACAAGCACACTTATTTCAACCTATTTGTAGATCAATCACAGCGCTGGCCATGTCCTCACGGTCTTGTGGGGGAGGGAACGATGATTAGTTCGACGTCCGTTGTTACTAGAGACCAAATACACCTCTGCATCTCCACGGCTAGGCTAGGGCTACAAAATGTTGAGTTGACAACCTGGAAGGAGCGGAATACCTAGCCCTGGTCCTCACAAGTTCCTACTTCACGCCTCCCCGAGACATATGATAACAAAAAACTACCAGCTGAAACATGGACACAGCTGGGTGACGTAGCCTGGGCAATGTTGCCAGTCTGGAAATAGCAAATTGAACAGGTGCAACGCAATTATTGGCGCGGTAACCATTATACGGTGATAGAGGAAATGCTTCACCAAACCTGAGCGTCTGTTCACCATAGAGGTGCGGCTCAAAACGGCGTATGTTCTCCATATTAAGAGCGGCTGATCACCGTCCTAGTGCCAGCGTGGGACTCTAAACAGAGCTGTGCACGATGGTCCCCAAGAGACAGGGGGTTGGGGCAGGCCCAACAAACCGCCCTGAAAAAAACAAAGTTGCAAATACTGAAGAAAGAAATACGGATCGGAACAATTGGCACAGACCTACGCAACGAAATAAGGACTACGATTGGAAGCTCGGAACATGGAACTGCAAATCGCTCGGCACCCCGGGCTGCGATTGGTTAATCTATTCATACGAACTTCAACCACGCAACTTCGAAGTCGTAGCACTACAGGAACTTTGCTGGACAGGACAAAAGGTATGGAAAAGCGGGCATCGAGCGGCTACTTTCTACCAGAGCTGTGGCACCACCAACGAGCTGGGAACCACCTTTGTATTGCTGGTTAAGATGCGCCAACGCGTGATAGGTTGGCAGCCGATCAACGCGAGGATGTGCAAGTTGAGGATTAAGGGCCGTTTCTTCAACTACAGCATCATCAACGTGCACTGCCCACACGAAGGGAGACCCGACGACGAAAAAGAAGCGTTCTATGCGCAGCTGGAGCAGTTGTACGACGGCTGTTCGCAACGGGACGTCAAAATAGTAATCGGCGACATGAACGCTCAGGTAGGACGGGAGGCAATGTATAGACCGGCAATCGGGCCAAACAGCCTGCATTCCGTATCGAACGACAACGGCCAACGATGCGTGAACCTTGCAGCCTCTCGGGGTATGGTAGTTCGAAGTACCTTTTTCCCCCACAAGGATATCCACAAAGCCACCTGGAGATCACCTGACCAACACACAGAAAACCAAATCGATCACGTTCTAATCGACG